ACTTTTGAGAAATATTCCTTTTCTTTTAAATTCTTTTGTTTCTTTTTTGTTAATTTTGAATATTTGTTCTTGGCTCTTGGGATGTGTTTGGCTGGTGGGAAAATGAGAAGGAAAGTGGAAAAGAAAATGGGATTGAATTTGAGATTATAATAATACGTTAGTTAAATTAAATGGGAAGTTGGATTTTTGCTTACTAAATAAGCATTGTGATTTGGTAGAACCAATTTGTGATAGTGACCCTTCAAAGGGTATAGTTTCCATGCTAGTGGATTTTTTTTAAAAAAAAAAGACAATTATTTGTTTTTTGTTTCTTCCCTTCAATTATTTTAATAAAAGATGTGTATAAAAAATGTGAGTGCTTTTCTTTTGGTGACAATTTTTTGTTGTCTGAAATTTTAGATGAAATAAGTGAAAAGGTTTATCTTAATTTTTTTTTTTCTGGAAAATGAAATATTTTAAATTTATTGTGCATTTTCAAATTTTTAATAGTTATTATGCATTTAATAAGTCTAAATGGATAAAAAGTAGTTGTATTGGTGCTTTTTGAAATATAAAATTGTTCTTTGAAATTTCCCCATTTTCAATTCAATGAGATTCTTAGTTGTTGAATGCTAAGTGGCACAACCTTTTTTTCTTCCTTGAAACCCAAATACCATTTTTTACTTTTATTTTGTAAATTTATTATTATTTTTTTTTTTCACGCCCATGATTTATTTATTCTTAAATCATGAATAGATGAATAATTGCATACTTAATTTAGAATAATGAAATTAAAGGGCTAAAATGAAAGTTAAACCAAAATAGAGTAACAAACTGTTACTAAAACTTGTTGCAAAATAGCCCTTAAGATTCTATGGATTGTTTTGGGGAAGAAATGGAAGGATATTGTAGTAAAAGAAATATACTATTTGTTAAGTGTTACAAAAGTTAAAGTTTCCATTTTTTAAATTGACAAAAATATATACATAAAAATTAGGAAAATCTTTAATGGGAAGAAATAGTAAAAAAATTTTAGGACGAAGTTGCAGAATTTATCAGTGGATTAATAAATGTTGTACACTACCAGTTTTGGTGGATAGAATATTGCATTTAAGGTGTTGGTCTTAAAATTATAATATAAATTTTTTTGTTGGTTGGGATTGAGTGTTGTGGATCAAGCACCGCCCAATCGCACTCGGCCACATGTCGAATAATGTATGTTAAAACTAAGTAGCCAATGTGATGTCCTATTTCAAAATGAAAGGAGTAGAGTGCCTCAAAAATCATGTGGGAGACACTTGGAATGACAAAATTTTCAATAGGTTCGACTCGATTCGGATTCGAAATGACCTTTGGGTCGGGGGATGGGAGGAAATTTCTTTTCGACATTTTTTGGATGCAGTAGAGGAATAAATTTCCTTTTCTACTTTGACTTTGTCTGAAATGTTGACTATGAATTTCGTTGTGTGTTGTTTTCTTGAAAAGGGATGATTTCTCTTTTAGGCTAAATGATTGAACTTAGGTGAATTTCACATCATTTAAAAGTAAATTACTAATTTTGTTGTTTTTTATTAATAAATCAGAATTTAAAAGACTATTAATGAGCTTTTTATTTTCTTTTTGCAAACATCTAAAAAAAAGTTGTAAGGAAAAATATCAAATTTTATTTTCGACTTGATATGATATATTATTTTTTATTTTAAACTTTCAATTTCATTAAGTTGCACATTAAATTCATAGTGTTGTAATCTTCGTCTTAAACTTAAAAAATGTTAGCAATTTTTATCATTTAATAGATTTTCATTTGAAGAATAGATGAAAAAAATATTTTTACATGTCTCATAGATTATAAAACATATATTTAGTACGAAATTGACAGGGTAGGGCTAACTTTTTGTTGGAATTTGTACATTTTAGCGAATTTATTTAGTGCTCAATTTCGAGGGTTAATCAAACTCAATTTTGTACACAACTTGATTTTTTATTAAATTAGTGAGCTCTTTGAATATTATATATATTTTATTAAAATTAGTGGGTAAATAGACAGAAATTTGATAAAGGTAAAAGTAACAACACTTATGTTCGATTTGATGAAAAAAACTTGGCAAGTTAAGGTATTAAATATATTTAAAATTAAATTATTTAAACTAATTGATAAAAATACATATAAAGTATACAACTAGGTACGATTTTAACTCTATTGAAAACTAAATACAAGATTTTCTCCTAGTAAATTGAATTTCCAACCACGACCTCAATTCTCATTTTTCCAAGCCCGAATGTAGAGACATTAGAGAGAAATAGTAGATATAATTTACCATTAAGCTATGTCGATATTTGCCCTTTCATTTTCTAAAAACTTATTATTTTACATTGTCATTGGTTTTATTTTTAAGAAAAATGGAATGTTTTTCTTTTGGAAGGATAGGCTTCTAGACAAAAAACAAACAAAAAAAAAAATCTGAAGAGGCAAATTATATCACAGAAAAGTACTTTTATAGCTTTACAAATCACTTTACAATATGAACACTTTTGAACATGATCATCACACAGAAAACTAAAATACTTACGGAAATGGAAATATAAGAAACAAACGAATCAAAGCTGAAACTTGAAGCATATATGTGCAAAGAGAACAAACATTTTATTGAACTAGTTTCATCGAGACAAAAGTTCAGAGGGATCTTCAGCTTCTTTCATCAACCATTTCAATCTAGTTTTAGAAAGCGCCTCCGGTTTAATAACTTTTCGAGTGTTGTCGTCACCCTGTGGCTTCTGATTGGCGATCATCCTCCCGTCAATCTCGAGGTGTCGACTGTTTAGAGATGGGACGACTCTCTTTTCATAATCATCTCTGAAATCCTGGCTATTGTTCCATTTCTGCATAAACTTTTCAACCTGTTCTTGAGATGATTCATGAATTGCTGCGATGTCTTTCTTCTCAGCAAGTACTTTGATTTTCTTCATGAGAGACCGATATTGGTAGTAGCAAGCATTCTAAACAAGTAAAATACCACGGACAATATATTAATGCAACGAATATCATATTCAAAAAACATTTATAGATAATTACGTAATCAATGATCTAAACCAATGACAAACCTTGAAAATAGGCTACGTTGATGTAGTCTATCACTTATTTGTCTATCAATGATATAGTCTATGAAATGGACGTCTATTAATGACAATTGACCTAGTCTACCACTGATAGACGTTTCAAGACTATTTTAGTCCTTTTATGGGTGGTTCTTTTAATTCTTTTTTTCCGGTTACATTTGCAATTAATTGGATTTGTTTTGCAATATATGCCAGGGCCCCTACAAGAAATCAATGACAAAACATAAGCATTTCTTCTTTTTCGATCAAAATTTCTCATTTGTGCTCCCACTCCACAAACAAAGAGGTACAAAGCAAGATTTCTAAACTTGATGTAGCATGATTTGAGAGCAAATTTGAAGTAACTCAGCAATAGAAGTATTAAGAGTTTGCAAGTGACCAGTTATACATACCTCCTCTCCATACTGCTTTTTCAGTCTAAGAATGGTGTCGTATGCCTCATCCTTTTTGCGATTCGCGTCTTTGAAACGTTGCTGTAGAGAACATATATCCTTTTCTACCCTCTCTAACTCTTTCTTTACCTTCCTAATTTTGCCATTTACTTGCACTTGTTCTTCCCTTAGCCCGTCTAATCTTTTGTTTAGTACCTGCACCTTTTGACGTAAAAAATCAGTCTATAAATTACACAGTTCAATAAATCTCCTACGTTTTCCTTTTGGTTCTTACTTCTGCTTGAATGGCCTTTTTTGAGCCTAGCGAGTTCCATAATTTACCATTCACTACAGCATCAGCAATAGTTCTCTCCCTAGCAAGTTCATGTTGTTTTATGTCTTTGAGAATGGCCTTTTCACGAGCGAGATCATCATCGGTTTTCTTGTACCCCCAATAGTTGAAGCATAATTTCTGTTGCAGGCGCTGAATCTGTTCATACAAATCCAGGAATTTAAGAGATATGACAATTCATCCAAAAGATCACTAGATCCGATAACACAAGTAGAACAATGCTTAATGTTGAATATTACCGGAGCATGAAGTTCATCTATTGTCATGCCACCGTCCTTCCCTTGGCTTGCATTGACTTCCCTTAAGAGCTTTCTCTCATCAGCCATGTTTTTGCAGCCATGTACCATCAAGAAAGACAGTTTCTGCTAACACGTTCGTTAGTAATATCTTGTATAAGACAAAGAAGATTGGAAAACTCTAAAAAGTTGATACAAAATACAGAAGAAAGTTTAGAGTTTGAAGGACCATACTCGCTTATCGACTTCCCCTCCTGACAAGCACGTGTTAATCGGTTTCCCTTTATACGCATTGTTGGCAAAAGCCAGTTTGTCTAGTGATAGATGCAGGATATCCAATTTCTCTCTTTGCCATTTTAGGGTGAGTTCATTGGTTTCATAGTAACTTATCCTCCTCAATTTTGAGTCCACCTCATCGCGATCCATCTACAAATAAAACTTATTATATCCAATATGTTATATACCGTTAACTTAACTATAACTCAGTAGTTAAGATATCTTCTGCCCTTCTACGTTTGAAATCCTCATTTTGCATTTGTGATGTAATATTCTCGAAAAGAGAAGAAAAAATTGTTGTAAACCATCATCAATTCATCTAGGGAAACTGATTTGTCCAATGAAGGAAGAATCTATTACTCCATAATTGAAAGCTCACATGGGCTGGCGCCAAACCAGGAGAGTTGACTAAAATGTTCTAAAAAGAAAGATGATAGTTTCTTTTCACATACCATTCTTTCCCTTATCTTCGAGGCCATCACAACTTGATCTCGATTCAACTTGTCAATAGTCTCTTCAGCTTTCTTGATAATGGCATCTGTTTTTGGGTTCTCAACTGGCAAATGTTTGACAAAATAAAATTGTCGAACTCTAACAGGCATTTCATCGAACATTTGGTGCTCATCGTTAGAATCATCACCCGAAATTACTGGTCCTTCTTCCTCCACCATTTCCTTCTCTCTAAAGCCAGAATCTCCTTCTTCCATGGAGCTGTTCTTTCCCTAATGCGAAAAACAACATAGAACAAAGCGGAAAACATTCAAAAACACAGAAACAAAATGCACCCAGTTCTAAAATTAACATCAAATTCAAATTACTGCTGCAATATCAAAGCTTCATAACCACAGAGAATTTCAAATTACAGAAGACAGAATAAAAACAGAGTGGGGAAGAGAGAGGAGGTGATTGATACCTCAAAATGAACAATGGGAACTTCAAATTTGTACTGTGAATGATGGAAGCTTTACTTGGATTATATGGAACCATCCTTTGATCGGTTTATATAAGAATATGAAGAGAATTTGTTAGTTCTTCGATGAGCACTTGCTCCCCACGCCAAGTCTGTTATGGAAAATATTTTGTAAAAAGTCAACTGTTGGTTGGTTCAATATGAGCCCTTTGATCCAAATAAATATATAAAAGTTAACAAATGAGAGAGAATACTCTTTTGGTACTTGAGCTTTCGTCTACAGGTCATTTTGGTCGCTATGTTTTAAAATCGTGATGATCGTGCATTTTTGGTTGATGAGTTTTCAAAATAGGTTTAAATATGGTCGTTCAACTAACACCTCATTTAGTATCTCATAGTTAGACTGACGTGACATATTCAATCGCTAGATCTAATAAATGAGAAACTGAATCATAAACTTAATACATCCACGTGAAATATAACATTGTACTTTCATCCACACAATCACTCAAGTCACGTGGAAGATAAGATCATGTTAGTTTTCCACTCCCACGATGCCCCTTATAAAATGCAATTGTTAGCCCTATCACGATACTAGTAATAAGATCATGTTACACGATGCTTATATTTTAACATGTGTACATACTGGTATGTATAGATAACATTAATAAACATGACGTCTTATTATTGTTGACTTATCGAAGGGGATAACTTAACACGTTATATCGTTGTCTTTTCATATGGTATACATGTTAAGTATAAGCATCAGGTATACGATCACTGTGTTAAGGCTAACGATCGCGTTTTATAAGGGACATTGTGTAAGTGATCACATGTAAGACCAACATGATGCTATCTTCCAATAATAGGGCAGTTGTATTCCACGCAGACACATTAACGTATGATCACATTCCTCAATATTAGATCGCGTTACACGATGAGTCTAACGTCCAGCGATCACAAGGTGAATATTCATGTAACGAATGATATCTTCCAATTACTATTTTGAGTAGCGGTTAAAGAAGCAGGTAAGTTTTATTCATAATAAATGCATCATATATCACAGTATCTACTCAAACTAAACTCGTCCATAGCTCGTCATCTCAACCTTTTCATTTAATTGTCAAAGTTGCTTTAACAAGTACCAAAAAAGTGTAAAGCGCTCCATTGTCCCTTTTTTCTCTACAAGTACACGGGAACGAGCATGATAGTGTAAGATTTTAACTTTTATAATGACAAAATTACAAAACTTTGATCATCAAAACTATATTATAAGAACAAGAATTGTGAAGAAAATATGCCTCTAAAAAGACCATATATTTACTCTTTATCTTGGGAAAATTTTTAATATTGTTCTGTTCTTGAAGTTTTATAGACTTCAATATGTCATAACCAATTAATGTGAGCCACTCTGTTCATAATTATAATGCCTCCATAAAGCTAATTACAATAGGCAGTAGTGAGAGATTTACTGTTTCAATCCCAATTGAGAAAATATTTAATGAGAAGAAATAGTAAAAATCTAATGTTTATCAGTTCAATTGATAGCATTGCATTTAAAGTTTTGGGTCTTAAATAAAACGTTGCACATTTTGGGTCTTAAATGCTAAGAATAGCATTAAGCTGTGAGTGATTGAGATAATTCTATATGATTGTAATATTGGTAGCATAGTAGATTTTCTTTCCGTGAGTCGTGATTTAACTTCTCCGTTACTCTTTTTGTTTATTCTCACGGTAGAAGTGGGAGGTCATTTTCCAACCATATTGTGTATTGAATGCTCCATGATTGTAGCATCGTCTTAGCATTCACATTAAAACAGATTTCTTGAAACGAGCTACAAATTCACTAGCGTTAATGTCGTCATTTCATCAACCAAAAAGAAAACCTCGAGAATGTGCAAAGGAACTAACATTTTTATTACACATTAGTTTTATAAGTACGGAAGTCTACAGGGTTGGTTCTGTAGTTCTTAATATTGAGAGAGAAATGAGAAAGTGGGAAAGTGTAAGTTTCATTCAATGATGTTATATATTTATACACACTCTTAAGTCTAAAAATAGACTCAACTAATTTCACATAACAGGCAACTACTCCACTAGCCATAAGAATAGCATCCTACCTAGTTGACTTGACTATAACAAAAAATAACCCTAACAACTTCCTAGAAACTAGGATTTCTAGGACTTGACTAGACAAATTCAAAAACTAAAAGAATCAAACTTGCAATTTTAGTTAACTTACAGTTCAGCATCTTTCGTCAAACATTTCAATCTAGTTTTAGAGAGCACCTCTGACTTATCTTTTCGAGTGTCTTTTTTGTAATCGTTCTTGAATCTCAGCAACTGTTTCACTGTTGTATGAACTTTTCACCTGTTTGTCAGGGAAAGAGATCAATTTTCCAAATATGAGAATCTCAGTTGCAATAGCATGTGCAAGCTAATGAACAAACTATAGTTGAGATAATTCTTCAACAGCTGCAATATCTTTCTTATTCAGTACTTCAACTTTCTTCATGAGGGAACAGTATCAGTAGTAGAAAGCATCTGTAACACGTAAAATACCACAAGCAATATATCAGTGCAACAGAGAATGCTTGAAGGAAATCGACAACCAATTATACAATTAAACGTCGAGCAACAGTGGAAATAGGTAGAATTTTTGTGTCTATCATAGATATAAGATATCCAATGACACAACAAACACAATTCAACCTGTTATAAGCATCCATAAATCAGAATTATTTCAATCAAAATTTCTCATTTATGCACAGATTGTTAACGAAGTGGTACAAATCCACATGATAAACCCCCAATTTGGAAGGTTTATTCTAAAAACGCTCAAAGGCTTCCCACCAAATCTCTCAAACCTAAAGGCATTTGGTTGTGTAGGCTATGTACATGTGAAACAAGGAAAAACATAACCAATCTGAAGAAATAGTTGTTTGGAGAGAATAGGGAACTCTTGAATTCTCCCTTCACTTGTAATTTCCTCTCCAAATATAAATAATAGAATCAAGATTCTATTACCACACTTGATTCTATTACCACACTTGTAAACTTCATGTAGCATGTTTTGAGTGCAAAATTGAAGTAATTGAGCAAATAAAAGTAATTAGATTTTGGAAGTGACCAAGTTTCATGTACCTCCTTTCCACACTGCTTCTTCAGTCTTAGAATGGTGTTGTATGCCTCACTCTTTTTGCGATTTGTATCTTTTAAGCGTTTCTCTAGAGAACTTATGTTCTTTTCTACCTTCCTAATTTTGGCCATTGCTTTCACTCTTTGCTCATTTGAACTGGTGTTGAGCGCCTGCAACTTTTGATGTCCAAAAACATGGCACAATTTTTAATTATAAGTTAGTTATATAGTTCAATGAATTTCCTACAGTTTATTGTTTGGCTCTTACTTCTGCTTGAATGGCCTTTTTCAAGCCCAAGGAGTTCCAAAATTTTCCATTCACAACAGCATCAGCAATGGCTCTCTCCCTAGCAATTTCATGTTGTTTTATGTCCTTGAGAATGGCTTGTTTACGAGCAACATCATCATCGGACTTTTGTATTAGTTGTTGCAGGCACTGAATCTGTCCATATAATCCAAAAACTTAAGATCAGATGATGATGATTCATCAATTACTAAAGATCACAGGATTTGAAACCAGAAGTAGAATTGAATGTTCTATTAATGCTTAATGTTGAATATTACAGGAGCATGGAGTTCATCTACTGTCATGCAACCATCCTTCTCTTGGCTTGCATTGACTTCCCTTAATAGCTTTCTCTCATCAGCCATGTCTTTACAGCCATGTACCATCAAGAAAGATAGTTTCTGCTCATACGTCGGCAAATATCAGATGAAGAAGATCGAGAAACTCTAAATAGTCGCAATGAAATTGTGAAGAAAGTTTAGAGTTCGAACAACCATACTTGCTTATCAACTTCCCCTCCTGACAAGCACGAGTTAACCGGTTCCCCTTTATATGCATTGTTTGCAAAAGTCAGTTTATCTAGTGATAGATGCAGGATATTCAATCTCTATCTGTTCCATAAGGTGATTTCATTGTCATTGCAGTACTTTACCCAGCTCAATTCCGTGCGATGCTTCTACAAACAACATCAAATTACACGTTTAGACCCTGAACTTTGAGCTTTGTGTCTAGTATAATAGGTTCTTGAACTTGTAATTTATCACTGTGTCCAACCAATGGAAGTTCTAATTCTCCATTACTGAAAGCTCACATGGCCTAGTGCCAAACGAGGAGAGTTGACAAAAATGTTATAAAAAGAAAGACCATGGCTTCTTTTCACAAACCATTCTTTCCCTTAACTTCCGAGCAATCAGAATTCGCTCTCGATTCGTCTTTTCAATCTTCTCTTCAGCCTTCTTGATCATGGCATCTCTATTTGGGTTCTCAAGTGGCAACAAAAAGGGTGGGATTCGAACAGGCATTTCATCGAACACCTGGTGTTCATCATCAGAATAATCAACTTCTAGCCCTTCCTCCACCACTTTTTTCTCTCTAAAGTGACAACCTCCTTTTCCCATGGCGCTGTTCTTTGTCTAAAATTAAGATCAGATTCATAATCATTCGGGAGTAAATTTCAACTAATTCACATCACTGTTGCAATATCAAAGCTTCATAACTAAAGAAAATTCAAATTACAGAAGAAAAAACAGAGTGATGAAGGGACAGAATGGATTTGATACCTCAAAATTAAAACAATGGGTACTTCAAATTCGGGCTGTGAAAGGGAGAGGATGGTAGATATATTCAGATTATATTGGAACGGAATCATTCTAAGAATGTAAAGTAAATCTGTTTTGCTCTTATCTGACTACTTGCTCCCCACGTAAGTTTGAATATATAAATCAAATTCAAAGGAAATGAGTCACTTTTGCAGGTCAACCTTTTGTTCCATTTGTTGTAAAAATAAATAAATAAAAGGAAAATGAAAAAAGGGAGAAGGTAAAAGAACAATTTTAACTTTGAGGTGGGTATTATAAAATTTATTGATTTTAGATATCCTAAACTTTATTTTTTTCGTAATTGAAAATGAAAACGAAGGAAAGCTCCTCGAGTAAATTGCTTTTAAGGGTTAAATCAATCATTAATTTTTTTAGGTCTGACATTAATCCTCTCATACCTATTCAGTGGTGTATTTGAGATGTATTTTTTCGAGCTCTTCAAACAGATATTATATGGACTGGATTAAAAGAGTTCGTCGTCCTAAAATTAAGATTCATTTCTTGATGTGGCTTGTTCTCCGAGCTTTTGCTCATCCCTTGTTGATCAAAGACTTGATGTGGCTCGTCCCTCGTAAGCTATAAAACTTATTGGAGGCTAACACTCTCAAAAGGAATCCTTATTTCTTATTAATTTCACAACAGTGAGTGAATTTTGAATGATAACTTTTTTCCCCTTTTTTCTCAATAAAGTTATTAAAATTCTAAATTTTTAATGATTTCATTTTGAAGGCACCTTTTATTAGGTTTAAAAAAATTATATTAACTATTTTTTGTTTCTCCTTGGAGAACAGATTATATATATATATATATATATATATATATATATTCCTTTGATAACTTTACCAAAACTAAAAAATTTAAAACTAAAAAAAAGGGAAAAAAAACAATTCTAATGTCATTCACTAAATTCTATCAATTTCATACCAAACATACGTTCTATAATTCGCAAATATAATAATACTTTTTTTAACGATTCTTTAAATGAAAACTCATAAAAGTTGCAACAATTTTCATGTTTTAAGTAAATATTGCATTACTTGTCTAAGTTTAAGGTGTATTTTGTTGAAATTGAATGTTTAGGGTAAATATCGATTCTTTAAAAAAATATTAACCATAAACAATAATATATGAAATATAAAAATATGTTTTAGAAGAAAAAAAATTATTTACTATTTTTAAATATATAAAACATAATATAAGGAATATATAAATTGCTTTGTTATTCTTATCTAAGATGCTGGGTCCACGGTCCTTTTAATCAGGCTGATCCAAAAAGCATCTACCAAGTCTAAGGAGAGTTGCATGGGATATTCAAATTTTGTTTTTTATTTTTTTAAAATAAAGCTATTGAAATATATCTAGTTATTTGTTTTTCGGAAAAAAAAAAAGTTATTCTCTTACGTTGTTATTGGTTTGGCTTTTCTTTTGAAATCATAGGCTTCCGAAAAAAGAAAAATTCTAAGGTACAGATCATCTCATAGACAAATACATCTTTTGCAGAGAGAACAAACATTTATTGTATTAGTTTCATCAAGACACAAGTTCAAAGGGATCTTCAGCATCTTTCATCGACCATTTCAATCTAGTTTTCGAAAGCGCCTCCAGTTTAATAACTTTTCGAGTGTCGTCGTCCCGTGGCTTCTGATTGGTGATCATCCTCCCGTCGATGTCGAGGTGTCGACTGTTTAGAGATGAGATGACTCTCTTTTTGTAATCATTTCTGAAATCTTGACAATTTTTCCATTTCTGCATAAAATTTTCCACCTGTTTGTAGGGGGAAAAATTAGCCTTCAGAAGTTCCCAAAATCCTAATTGCAATAGCCAAATGGGCAATTCTATTAGATCAACCTGTTCTTGAGCTAATTCTTGAACTGCTGCAATGTCTTTCTTCTTAGCAAGAACTTCGACTTTCTCCATGAAGGAATGGTGTTGGTAATAGCAAGCATTCTAACGCATAAAATACCAAAAACAATATATCAATACGATGGATCTCTAGTTCAAGAAAAGCCAACGAATAATTATGTAATTAACGATATAATGATCGAAACAAATGAACCAACATTGAAAATAGGAAGAATCTCGGTGTCTCTCATCGATATAAGATATCAATGACACAACATATGCATCTCTTCCTTTTGAGACCAGAACTTCTCATTGATGCACATGCTCTGTAAGTAAAGTGATACAAACCCAGATTTCTAAACTTGGTTGGCAATAAAATAATTAAGAGTTTGTAAGTGACTAGTTATCATATATACCTCCTCTCCATACTGCTTCTTCAGCTTAAGAATGGTGTTGTATGCCGCGGCGTTTTTGCGATTTGTATCATTCAAGCATTTTTGTAGAGAACTTATATCCTTTTCTACCTTCTTTAGTTCTTTCTTTACCTTCTTAATTTTGGCATTTACTCTTATCTGATCTTCCCTCAGCTCATCTGAATTGTAGTCGAGTTCCTGAAGCTGGTAATTTACAGAAATATTGTGTTGTTAACAGTTCAGTAAATCTTCTACATTTTCTGTATCGCTCTTACCTCTGCTTGTATGGCTTCTTGTGAGCCCAAGGAGTTCCACAATTTTCCATTCACAACAGCATTAGCAATAGCAATCTCCCTAGCAATTTTATGTTGTTTTATGTCTTTGAGAATTGCTTTTTCACGAGCAATGTAGTCGTTGGAGGTTTTCTCGTACTGCCAATAATTGAAGCACATTTGCTCTCGCAGTTGCTGAATCTGTTCGCACAAACCCAAAAACTCAAAGAGATATGATCATTCATCCACAGGATACGAAATCAAAAGTAGAACTAAATGTTCAATTCATGCTTCATATTGAATTTTACAGGAGCATGGAGTTCTTCTACTGTTGTGCCACCATCCTTCCCTTGGCTTGCGCTTATCTTCCTTAATAGTTTTCTCTCATCAGCCATATTTTTACGGCCATGTTCCATCAAGAAAGACAGTCTCTGCTCACACATCGATAAATACGTACATTGCATAAGACGATGAAGATTGAGAAACTATAGAAAGTCACAATAAAACACACTAGAAAGTTTAGAGTTCAATCAACCATACTTGCTTATCAAGTTCCCCTCCCGACAAGCACGAGTTTGTCGATTTCTCTTTATATGCATTGTTTGCAAAAGTCAGTTTGTCTAGTGATAGATGCAGGATATCCCATCTCTCTCTGTGCCATTCCAGGTTGAGTTCACCGTTATCATATTCATAGTACTTTAATCTGCACAATTTCGAGCTCACATCATCGCTATCCATCTACATACAAAATTTTGTAGAACTCAACGTGTTATGATACCATCATCACCTCATCTAGGAAAACTGAATTGTCAAATCAAATGAATGAAAATACTAATCCTCCATTATTGAAAGCTCACATGGCCTAAAGACAAACCAGGAGAGTTGACTAAAATGTTCCAAAAAGAAAGACTATGGTTTCTTGTCATATACCACTCTTCTCCTTATCTTCTGGGTTATCAGAACTTGATCTCGATTCGTCTTTTCAATCGTCTCTTCAGCCTTCTTGATCATGGCATCTGTATTTGGGTTCTCAAGTGGCAAAAGTTTGACAAAATAAAACTGTCGAGCTCTAACAGGCATTTCATCGAACACTTGGTGTTCGTCATCAGAATCCTCCACCACTTCCTTCTCTTCAAAGTCACAATTTCCATCTTCCATGGCGTTGATATTTTCCTAATGCAAAACACAACATAGAACAAAGCAGAAACCACTCAAGAACACTGAAACAAAACGCACCCAGTTCTAAACCTACCATCAATAGTTCTTCATGTTATTTTGGGTGTAAATTACAACTAATGCACAATACTGTTGCAATATCAAAGCTCCATAACTAAATAAAATTCAAATTACGGAAGAAAAACAGAATGAGGAAGAGAGAGAGAAGGCTTTTGGTACCTCAAAATCAAAACAATGGTTACTTCAAATTGGTGCTGTGAATGGTAGAAGATGATAGCTTTACTCGGATTATGTGGAACCATCCTTTGATTTGTTAATATAAGAAAATGGAGTTTGTGGAGTTTGTATGAACAATTAAGATATACCAAAATTAAAGTCAACTGTTTGTGGAGTTTTATTTGAAATGGATATTTGCCCTGGTCAATATTTGGGATTTGTTCTTGTCACCAGATAGAATATTTGTTAAATTTACTGATTTTAGGTTATAAATTCATGTCTAAATATTATTTTTGTTGTAATTTCAACTTTGATTCATCCATGTATTATCTAAACGTCTATTGAGAGGTGTTCATACCTCGAGCTACTGAGATGATTAGAAAAAAGATATTCTAAAACAATTAGACTGTGTTTACTTACCAGAATTGTAAAGTTGGTTCAACTGTAAATTATTTTATTGATCTAACTGGATTGAGAATAGTTCATATATTACGTAACGAACAATTCTATACGAAGAACATCTAAAGAAACATAACAAAAAATAAATAAAAAGAGTAAAATAAAGTTGACAGAGGCTTAAATATTTAAAAAAGATTTGTGTGAATGAAATAACTTCTTCAAGAAGTTTTCAAGGTTCCTTTGGAGAATGGCAAAATGTTAGGTGATTGGTATCATCCATCTCTTTAGTCTTTAGGATGACTTTATATGACATTTCCACCTCTTTTTTTAGTTGTGGTTCTTTAGAAGATCTATCTCGTGTTTGGTACTGTACGCTTCCACTCAGTAAGAACTTCAAATCATTCTATTAAAGTTCATCATCTTTATCATAAATGCCTTGTCTTGAAATGACTTAGCCCAGTAGAGAAATCACAATCCATTGGGCCTTTCGATTCAGATTGTTGGGTAAATATACATTGTATATGTAAATTGAATAACACTAACAAACAATTTATAACGTAACTGGATGCAAACAATACAGATACTGACAACTTGGTGAACCCCAAAACTTGATAAATATAGTCAAGACACACTTCAATATTCTGACCTGAAGACAATTATTCGCTCTGCACAATTGCTAGCAGACTACATCGATCGTCTCAACAAGATACAACGATTAACTCCAGTAGAACAACAACCTCAAAATACTCGAATCTGGCATAACTTTTTTAACACAAACAAGAACAAATGAAAAGAGAATTCTTTGAGAGCAGGAGAAACTCAAATGAGAATACTTGATATTTCAAATGAGAAAAACTACAACTATATATAGTTGTACAATTACGTAATAGATAAAACTTCCCTCCCGAAGATTCAGGAGGGAACTCCTCCTGAATTCCTGTGTGAGACGAGTAGACCATGTAGGAATTATGCAAAATTTAAAAAAAAAAAAAAAACACTTGTCTATATATTACTAGACCATGCAGGAATTCAGGACAAGCTCCTTCGAGAATCTTTTTTTTCTTAGGTAACTCCTCACAAATGAATTTTATAATTTTACACATATATAATGTTCTTGATTCAACACACTTTCACTTTAGTGTCCGAGTTGATACTCTTATTTTCTCCCAAACCATAGTAATATTTTTTTTATCAAATCATTGAATTATTTATTTCTCTTAAAATTTCTCTTCCATGTTTATTTTACACAGGTCGTTATTTAAGGGGCCTACATCCATTACGTGGCATGAACTTGATAAGGTAAATTACATTTTATACTAAATATTTAATTTTATTAAATTTAACTTTTTTTTTATGTTCAACAATACGTGGAGATAGAAATTTGAACTCACGACTTTTGATCGAAAATATATGTCTTAATGAATTATGTTTAGGTTGGCCACTACATTAAATTTTAAATTAAGATAAGAATTGTAATTTTTTCCTTATGTTAGACTTTTGTTACATTCACTCGTTACTTTTAATAAAAATCATTGTAAAAATCTCTCAAAATCCACAAGTTTCAACGAAAATCAAACTTTAGCAAATCAATGTATAAGATTCTTAACAAAATCTACCCACAATATTAACCATTGAATATAAATCTCTCAAAGCTCGTCAATTTAACAAAAATCTAGTTATAATGTCATTTTTCTATAATTCTTCGATCCAAATCTTACAATACTTATTTAATTCTAAGGTCTAATTTGATGAATTTGAAAGTTTATAATAAAATTGGTCACGAGTTTATAGGTAAATTTGGAATCTTTTTCCTTTTTTATCATAATACTTTAATAGGAATTATTTATTATTATTATTATTTTTTTTTTTTGTTAATGGGAATTTGGATCTTATTTACTAGCACATCCAATGTCAACGAGATTTCAATTGAGCTTCTTTTTTTTTCTTTTTTTTTTTAAATTCTGTGATTGAATATGCTATTTTTTAAAAGCAAAACTTCACTTAAAGGCATTTCTGCAGTAATAATTTTTACCATCCCTTTTTTTGCTTTCCATTGCAAATCATGAGAACAAGTAATTAGTTATTGAAAGGAGAAAACAAAACTATTGATAGTATTTTTTTTAGTACAATAAATGTGAGGTACGGGAATTTGAACTTTGATCATGCTAATAATTATTGGTAATGCTTCAATAATAAAATTTGAAAAAATTTAATTATCTACCAGTGATCAATCAATTAAAAATTAATCATAAATTCTGTCAATTAATATTTAATTGTACGTTATTTAGCCCGAGTTATATATGTTTGCGTATGTATGTATATATGTTATCTATATATGTGTGTGTATGTATATATAATTTTTCTTTTTAATACATCAAGTGGCGTGAGGAGATCCGAACTCATGATATCAAAGACGTGTATTAATTACTGCTATGCTAAGTTCATGGTGGTGCAAGAAGTTACATTTTAAACTATGGTTTTGTGAAAAATGTGCACAAGTTAATAATGTAAATGTTAAACATATGTTTTTAGTCCCTAATGCTTTAGCATTTTTTTAATTTAGTATCTCACTTATAAATATTAAAATTGACTAACAATCAACTTATATGGTATAGTATTTGGTGAAGTGAAAATTTTTGTGTAAAAATGTCATCCAAGAAAGTTTGTTATACATCTTTCAAATTTCTAAGAAATGAGTAGAAATTTCGAGTTTCTTTTTTCTCCTAAGCATTATACCATTGGATGCTTATTATGAATCGATTTTAACATTCAATAATGGTAAGAGACTAAATTGAAAAATGTTAAAATATAAGAAATTAATGGAGGAAAAAAAACTCATCGACTAAATTTATTTAGCCTAATGCAAAACATAGGATGAGACTACATCTTTGAAATTTTCACATTTCCAAAATATTTGTAAATATATTTTTTTTATATAAAAAGTAATTATAAATATTCCAAAAAAATGTGAATCTAGCAATTTCTTCAAAAATATCTCATTAATCATCAATTGACCTAATGATGATGATTAATTTGTTTTTTAACATTTTGCAATAATGGTTGATTCACATAATAGATTATTAATCTAAATATTGATAAAGTATGGTAATCACTGACTAATACATTAACATTTCTTACCATCTTGAGAGTTATATTATATTATAATGATATAAATATAATGATATAAAATCGTTCTTTAGTATTAGGAGACGATTCCCTACATTATATTATATTCATTGCCTATTCCCACTAATCTTTGTGACAATTTTGCCCACCGGAACACCAGCTCCGAGAGGTAACAAGGGTTTTAAATTATTAAACTCACCAATTATGAACTTAAACTTAATACTTTAGAAGGTACCTACGAACATCCCAACTCGAGCCACCCTTGAGAGATTATAATACTATCATCTACATCTACCGACATCAACATTCTACTCATGATTTTATTTAGTATATTCCACGTTATTTCAGATGTCGGTAATGCAGCTAAATATTAGTTCCAAAACGATGTTTCCACGCTACTTTGGAAGTACTAAAAAGTTCCGAGTCGAGTTCAAAACTAATGGGAGCCTCAACAAGGAAACATGCAACAGTATTACCTCATCCATCCAACTGTGAGGTGCAAATTGAGTGTCAAGTCTCAATCTCTCTCCACTGCCCAAACAAGAGAGGCAAGCAATGTTCTTCAATAATAATCTCAATCAGCCTGCAAAAGTTCAGCCTCACATTCAAATCAACAGGGAAGAAGAGTTCAAAGGCTGCTTTAAAAAGTAGGGTTGAAGCCAGAAATGAAAGTTGAAAAGCATTTAGACAAACAGATTAATGTTCATTGCATAATCACATCACAGAGAGGGAGGGGTATTTGCTTTGCTTTGCTTTGCTTTTTACATGTACAAATCATAAATGAATGAGGGCTATTGCATTTAGACAAAGAGATTCATAACACAACATGTTCAGTGCATATATTCACATCCCAGTGGAAGGCCCTTTTGGGGTGTTGGTCAAAAGGAAAAGGATAAAAAAAGGATAAATATGTGGCACAGTTTGTCTACAACATAGTTGTTTTCCCTCATGTCACTGACAAGACATTCGGATTTTAGTTTCATGTTTGGTTCCTAAAAACAAAAGTCGGCACAAAAAGTTTCTCAGGTCCCAGAATCAGATGATAATAAAATGCTCACTTTTTCCCATGGTCTACCAATCTGTCTAGTGAAAGATTGTGATTAAATTACATTTTTGGCCCGTTTCGATGTAGTCTCTATACTTTTCTTTTTTGTTTGGGTGGAATTCGAACATCCGACCTTTTGTTGGTCGAAGATGTATAGTTGAACTATTGCTCAGATTGACCAATTTAGCATCTATAACTCTGAAATGTTTTATGATTGTTCTATCCTTCTAAATATCTCTGCCACCAATTCGTCGTACCGCTGAATGAAAAATCTCTCCATGAAGTGAATTTAGTGAAAAGGGTTAGTATGAACACGTCTAAACGTCGATCGACCAATCATTTTAGTTTGATTTGACAAGATTTTGTATCACAAGTAAAAACCTATCCTCATGTTCAGAAAGTTTGCAAGTTCATAGAGCATGGCCCCCCCCTGCATCTTTCCCACTCTGTTCACCAGATCTAATGCAAATCTAATCACCTTAAGATTTAAATATCAATCTACCAGGTTGAAAACTAAAAACAAATAGAGCATGCCAAGTTATCAGCTGGAAATTTATGCTGATTTGACATAAAATCATCACTCTCAAACTCATAGAGGTATGGAAAAGTATTTTTTTTCGCATGGCACTGTACATCGT